TCATGTTCAAAGTCGACATTCTTAAAATATAATTATGGCAAACATTCATTATTATCTCACCTTCCATAACCAAAGCGTCCATATCCTCCATAGCCACCACTGCTGGAGCTGCTGAAACTGTTGAAAATTTTTTATATTCAAATTCATCTGTTAGGAGGTTTTTTCTTCTTGTATTTTTTGCAAGACTTGATGGTTCTTGTATGCAGGGTTTAATGTGAACTTAATTTAACGTTTTCTCTACTTTTTGAACACATATGGCATGAAATCTTAGTGTGAAATTTTATGTAAGATGTTATCAACCATGGAATTGTGTGTGATCTGACCTTGTTCAAGTGAATGAGAAGTCAAAAATGCTTTAATCTCATGTCAAACTCGAATTTGAAAGTCTTAAATGTTGCTTTTTGAGAAAATTCATTAGCATGTGATGCTAGTGACATCTACATCATGAATTAAGGTTGTGTCTGGGGAGACCATAGAGCAGTATATAAAAATACCAAAGAGTAAAGTTGTATACAGTATAAGGATGTGAAAACACTGTTTAAACCCTGTGAATGCTGAAAAGTATAAAATAAAGTTTGTTTATGAATCAATCAATTTAAAAATTGAATGAAAGGCCAAGTACTTAACTTGTTGAACTTGAATAGTTTAATTTTTGAAATTTAGCATATTTATTTTAGTAAATGATTCAGCATTGGCCAGTGAGTGATATTCTTCAAATTAGAAAAATGACTGAAAATTCAAACACCTTAACCTGTTTTCAAACTTAAATTTAATTTTTGAAATTTAGCGTATTTATTTTAGTAAATAATTCAACATGTGATGCCAGTGACATTCTTAAAATTAGAAAAATGAATGAAAATGCAAGTATACCTTAACATGTTTTCAAACTTGAATTTAATTGCTGAAATTTATCATACAATATATATTTTAGTAAATAATTCAGCATGTGATGCCAGTGATATTCTCCAAATCAGAAAAATTAATTAAAATTCAAGCACCTTAATCTTTTTTCAAACTTGAATTTAACTTCTGAAATTTATCATATATTTTAGCAAGTAATTCAACATGTGATGCCAGTGATATTCTTCAAATTAGAAAAATGAATGAAAATGCAAGTATACCTTAACTTGTTTTCAAACTTGAATTTAATTGCTGAAATTTATCATATATATTTTAGTAAATAATTCAACCTGTGATATGCCATCAGTGACATCTACTGAAAGTTTGAAGTTTTTTTTGTTGGGGGAGGGGTGTTGCTCAAGGTCGCTGCACCATTGTCAAAACCTAAACTTTTGTATGAGAATATATCATTGCTAGGATATTGTATTCGTGTTTACAAGTTGTTATGAGGATGGTGAATCTCGCTGATTACTTCCACAAGTGTCCCCTTTTGTCTCCTCAGCAGCACCAGGGCATTGTCCCAACTATACAGAGACCCATTACAAGAATAGCCACAGAGCAGGTCCTTATATATAATGGCAAAGGCCTCTCTCAGGAGCCTGTTCACAATGACACACTTGAATGAGTGTCCACACTACACCTAATCTCACATTCATACTGTACATGTATAAAGGGCTTGTATTGTTCCAGTAGTGCTGATCATTTGAAGATATTTAGTACTGATGCTTTGGCACTTACCCGGGCTTAGCGACGACCAAACATGCCATTACTGAAGCAATGACGACGAGGAGAGCAAAAATCTGCGAAAGAATAAAGGGGTCAGAACAATATTGCAAAATATTTTTGCAGGTAGAATTTCCATGTGGATTAATTTTTCGTCGCTACGAATTTCGTCAAAAGTATCCTATAAAAGCTTGTTTAGAATAATATAAGACAAATAAATTTTTGGTGAACTTTTTAGGTTTTTTGTTGTTTAAGGATTCGAATTTTTGAAATACAGTACTTGTACAAAATTCATGAAAAAAACTGTTGAGTCGAAAACTGAAACTGATTGAATCACTGTATTTGCGACGGACACTGTTTTCGAAGGGAAAATTTTTTTTCACCACAGAAATTTTTTTATGGATCACAGAGAAAAATTGTTATCATGCTTGGAAAGTGATAGCCTCAAATGTCTTGAAAAAAAATAATTTAATCACGAGGTGACGTGGTTTTGGAAGGAATAATCATTAATCATTTGAAAATTTGTAAGGAAATGCAAAGAAAAGCATTTGATGTTCTAGTGAATTTCCCACTTTTTCCAGCTTTCTTTTTCATAATTGAAATTTTAAAATATATGCTGGATTTTTTTCTGAGCAGAAGTTAGTTAAACTTTTATTTGAAATAAATGAAATTCATTGAATAAATTAATGGAACAGACACTGCTTCAAATGGAAAATTTATTTTCACAGCAAACATTTTTTATGATTGCAGATATATAATGCAGTATTTTTAAAAGTTCAATTTTATGCTTGGAAGAAATTTCGATCTGATGGAAGACCTTCGTTTGAAAGGGATGAATATTGAAAAAGTGCACAATTTTGCAAGGGAATCTTGACAATTTTTTTTGGGAATATTTCGGAATTTTTCACTTTTTCTGTGCAGAAATTCGTTGTAACGAGATTTCGCTTTTATCTGAATTTTTCACAATACACGTCCCTTTAGTTCTCACCTTGGTGAAGTGGTTCATGATTGCTTCTTTTTTTTTTTCTTTTTTGGTAACTGGAAAGCTGATTTATTTGCAGGAACTCACTGAATGAACTGCTTGGTTTCCAGATTCCGAATCTCGGGTTTATATAGTCCTTTGTATGCTTGGCTGATGATGCCCACGAAAATGCTTAGGAAATGATAAATCACGTTTTTTCATCGATTTTTTGCTCAAAATCGCGGAACGAATCGCGGACCCAAAAATCTCGGGATTGCGTCACGTGAAGTCGAGTGTGAAATTCTTGATGTTGCCCAAATTGGGCGGAAAGAAATCAAAACGTTTTGAGTTAAGGTCTGGTTTTTTTTATTGGTCTGAAAGACTGATGTGTCACCTTGGGTTATTTGAAAAAATGAGGATCAATTTGGCGTGAAATTTTTCGGATCTTTGCTTGGCTGCTTTCGGGTTCTGTCACGTTTGGCTGCACTCAAAAAAAATGAAAGAAAACTTTCCACTTGATTATATTCCGCAATATACAGTGAGACCCCCACATGCGGACACCCCGACCTGCGGACAATTCGACATAGGGACACTTATTTTCCCCATGAAAAGATTAATAAAAAAGGCCTCACATGAGGACACTGAGTCAACTTAGGGACATTTTGTTATACAATTGCAAATACATTTCAGGCCAAATTACAAGAAACAAATATTTTCAACCCTAAAATTGATGTAAGAAAAGTTCTTGGGTATTTCTCTCACCAATTTTCCATCCATTTAGCCAATTTAAAAAAATTATCTCCAGCATAGAGGGACTTCTACATTTTTTTTCACTTGAATGTTACTTTTGTGGATACCAACATGTCAATGTATAGTACAGAGATACACTATTCAATTCTCCAAATGTTCTTATTGAGTTGAAAGTGTATTCATTAAATTAAATTCAAGTGGCAAATGATTTTTTGTGGAATTCTGAAGAATATTTCTCCTATAAAACACCAATTAAAAATTATATAATGTAGGTGTAACCCAGCAGAAACCAAATTGCAATTATTTTCTTTTCTCCTTATATGGGAAGAGATCCTTCTGAACAAGGTATCCGTTTCTTTGCAGCTGTTCCCCTTTTGTTTTGGTTCCCCCTCTCTCACGTCAGCCTGCATTAATGCGTGATGGTTGTTATTGCGCGTTTCTCCTTTTCAACTTGCTATTTGTTGACAGTGACAAACGACCTGCACTGCCTTCTTCTAAACTGCTAATTTAGAAGAAGCCTATTCCGTTGAATTTGCGAGTGTATATATGTTATTTATATTTATAATATATACCTGGATATATATATTCATCAAGTGTTCAGGGAACCCGCAGTTCCTCAATCTTGGCAAATATTCCGCCTCTATATTTTATGTTTCCAGGAAGGTATAAATAAACCTTCCTTCCCACATATTTCTCCAGAATTAATCTAGAGTCATTTGCAGTTATTTCTCAGAGAGACTTGCAGAACATTTTAGCAAGACTCTCTTAAAGCTCTCTATTTTTATGTTTGAGTGATTGTACAAATATTTGTGAATTGAATATATTTGAAGTATATATTTTTATTGGACTTGTATATTCTATTTTACCTTGGTCTACGGACAACATAAGTCTAAGGGAAAACAAGACTCAACTTAGGGACACTCTTTATGTACCAATTATGTCCGCATCTTGGGGTCTCACTGTATATATTTTTTGCTCTACAATCAAATTAAATCAAATTTCATTATATCAAATGTGTTTGCAATAAGGAGGAATTTCTCAGTTTATTTATTCCCCAGAAAAATGTGCAGGGTTATTTTTCAAATTTCCGGGACCAGGTCCGACTACTACTGGTACTTCTTTTGGGAATATTTGTGATCAGTGGAAGCTTCCTCAGTTTGAGTTTCTTGAGTACTTTGCGTTGTTCTTCTCTCAAGAGCCGCGTTTCCAGCAGTTTTTGAGGATCTCCTGCTCTTCCCCTGGGCAGTTTCATGTATGTGTCGTCTTGCTCGCCAGATGGAGCCTCTTTTTGGTATTCATTCGATGATGGGGGTTCAGCTTCGGATGATTGGACTTGTTCTTGGGACCTTTGCGGTGGGGGTGGGGGGTTTGCTTCGGGTTGTTCTTGGGAAGAAAGTGGTGCTTCTCCTGATGAAAGGTGTTCTGGTGGTGGTCCTGAGTCTTGGGGGGCTTCAGGGGATGCGTTATCAGTATTTTGTGGGTGATGATTGCTTTGAAATGGTTCCTCATTGGAGGAAATCCTTTCACCAGCATCTGGAAGGAAAGCATTTTTTTAAATAGACTTTTATTATACTTGATTTTTGGGGGGTATATGTCTGTATATATGTATCTGGGGTATCCAGATTCAGCAAAGTTTAAAACTGAAATTTAACGCACTTGCAAATGTCCAATCCAGCTGAAATTTTCCACATTTTTCAAAAATTGATGATAATGCAATGTTTCAAAATTTCAGAATTTTTGCATGACCAGAAAATTGTAAAATTGACAAAATACAAATTATCATGAACCACTCTTTTAACCTCTTTAAAACTGTTCAAATTTACTACAAGTTAGGGGTTGTATTTATCAAGCATTGCTTCATAAAAAAAAAGAATACTTCACATGAAAAAATTTTGTTTTTCATGTGAAGTTGTTCAGATTTGTAGTGTAGGAGAGCTTTTTGAAGGTTCTGTTCAATCCTTTGATGGGTAATTATTCTTTGTTGAGGAGATCTCTGTGTGTTGATCATTGAATTTGGGAGATATTACATACTCACTTACTCATTGATTACTAATTTTAAAACTATTTACTGTATTTCAAAAAATTTCTTGTGGACATGTTTTTAAGCTGTCAACCTTATGTCTTCAATTTGAATAAAAATCAGTGTAACTTTGTTCAAGAGAAGCTTTGCTCCTTCCAAATGTATAGAATAGAACATTTAAATACTTCTCTTGAAAATATCAGCAATTATATTTTTCTCTCTGGTCGAACAAGTCTTATTTGCGACAGTTCTAAGCAAAAAAATTGTACATCTGGGATTATGAATGCATTCATTCTAGAAGCTTTTTCGATTTGGCTTATCATCTCATGGTCATTCATGAACAGTGAAGTTATTTTTAAATTAGGTTATGCTGGATTTGTGTGAAATTCAAGGTTACATATGCTAAGCATTATATAAAATGAATGAATTATTTCAAGAATATATGCGTTATTATTACGTATTTATATTATTTTTTCTTTCACATACTTTTTAATGAAGAAATTCTGGCCAAAATTTCCATGATCTAAATAAGTTTTAAATTTCAGTATTTCTTAAGGCTAACTTTGATCCTTCAGAACAAACGTTTATTTTTATCATTGATTCAAAACCTTCTTTCAATTCTACAGCACATTAAAATTTGTCAGTAGATTTTCTCAGCCATCCAAATATTGGAAGAAAATGAATTTGTGCTGTGTTTGGAGTGAAGAAAACTTGTAACTTCCATGCCATAAAATTTTAAACAAGTTTATGTTTGCTCTGGGGATTTTCAATATGTTTGAGGAGGCCTAAAGAGATTCCTCTTGAATTACTGATTCAATTTAAAAGTCTATGACTACATATATTCGCACTAACTTTGCCAATTTAAAATATTTTTGGCTCTCTTGATGTTATTCTTCCAGTTCTTTGACAAGTCAAAATGTGATCCTGCCTGCCAATATGAAGAAATAGCATTTATTGATATTTTTGAAAAATGCGCATGTAATACCCTCAGTTGATCCTTGGCTGATCTAACATGATAAATACTGACATCTACAAACCATCCAACTGCAGTAAATATATGAGCATGATGTTTTAATTGTTCTGTTCCATTCAAGACAAATCATAGCTGAGGAGGGGAGATGCAAACCTGCTCTTTGAAAGGCTGACAAGGTTAGTTCAGATGGTGACAAAGACTGTCTTCTCCTTGGATAGTTCTGCTCTACTCCCAGATCAGCAGATAAGGACTTGGGAAGCCTCCTCATGAAAATTGGAGACATATTCCTGACCAAGTTTGGAGAGAATCTGTGCTTGGCAAATTCTCTTCTGCTTCCAGCAAAATCAACAAAAGATCTCAATAAGGTTTAATAATGAAAAAACAAATTTTATGAGGTGGTATCATTGCCTGACCTGAAGTTTGCAGTGTCTTGAGCAAATTGCCCAAGCTCTTCATTTCTGGTCTTGGACCAATGTTGTCTCTTGACTCTGATGTTGCTGCTTCTCAGGGCAGCTTTCCAGGGTTTTCCAGGATAACTTGATCTTCTTTTTGTGGCATGGGATTCTGGAGTTGAAGGAGGTGCTAAAGTTATGGTCAAGCTGCTTTTTTCATTTTCTTTTTCATCAGAAATTTGAAGCTCTCCTGTGGGATCTGTCTCAAAGATCTTTTCTGTGGTGCTCAATGGGACCATGGTGATTGAAGTATTGTTGCTTTTGTTTACTGTGGGAGTAGATTCAAAGGGTCCCCATGATAAATACCCTGATTTCTCATAATTTTTCATTTCTTTTGTAACTTCTGCTGAGTCCTCCACTTCAGTTAGATAAAGAAGCTTTCCTGCTTTTTCCACTTCATTGGGCTGCTGTTGATGGTTCTCAGCAGGAAAGTATGGAAAAACAGTGTCCTGAACTTCCAACTCATCTTCACTGTCTTCAAGCTGGTACATGTCATCATCTGTGTTATTGGACAGTGTGGGGGAAGACAGTTCCTTGTTTTTCCAACCTGAGTTCCAAAGAAGGTCCTTGACTTGGATGGCTGCAGAAAGTGTGGGGAATGAGTCAGTTGTGGAGCACACTTTTTCTAGATCCACATATGTGTGGTAAGTTGCTGTGTTTCTGGTGGGTGGTGTTGAGTGAGTAAGGAACTTGTCAGACAACTTGGACTTGCTACCCTGCCCAAACCCTGCACAGACTTCCACCAAGGTTATCAGCACAACTGGAGCAATCATGGCTGCCACTCAAGACTGACACATCCTTTCCATGCCTCAGGATTTCCCACCATGCTGAGGTGGGGAATCAGGAATTTCCCAACATAAGGAAAAAAAAAAGATGAATAAGGGGAAGGAAGAAGAATGACACTATGAGAAAGCTTCATCTTTTTTTTTTAAATGTATTATCTCCCTTCCTGGTGATTAATATGAATACAGGGTGCTCAGGAAGCGGCTTTTGACAGCAGCAATTTCTTCTTCATTTTTAACCTTTGCTTTTTTCTGGAGGTGAAGAACCTTTGATGTCTTGTTTGGACTCCTGTGGTGCCTGTTGAAAGCATTTTTTCCCTGGCTTGTCCTTTTTTGTTCATGTAGCAAAATGAAATTCTTTTCACCTTATTGCCCAAGTGCATTGACAAATTTTTGTTTGCAGACTGAAGATGTAAAGGAAAAACTGGTTTCATTTGATGGAAGCTCAAGTTATGTGCATCAACTATGTAAATTTTAAACAGTGTACTGATAGAAAATGAGAATATTATGTGCCATAATCTGTAAAAAAATACATTAAAGAATTGTAATTTGAAATTAGGTACTGCTTTATATTGCTTGTTCAAATCAGCAAGCTTATTTTATTATTAAGCACTTTTTTGTTTTGCAAGATGCATTCAAAAATATGGCCATTTTTTCAATGACTGTATTTTAGTCAAAATCTCAGGTGGGTACTTTTTGAAGGAGTAATCTAATAATTGATCTTTGAGTGTTTGATTCTACCTTCTGGGATTATGATAAAACTTCATATATTTAGTTGTTCAACAGATACCCTGAAAATCATTGTCTCAAAAATTTATGTTCAAGGATTTTTTTATAATTGTCAACCGCCAGCATTTCATCAATTTAAAATTTGCCCTAAGTTGAATGATAAGTAACATGAATTGTTTCCTGTAACCCATACACTGAAAACTGTGCAGTTTCAAGGAATTTATTCATATATAAATCATAATTTATTTTGGAAATAAATGTAAATATAGAATGCAGCCCTATTTTTGCCTATGATGAAGTTCTCCAGAAATCTTTAGAGAAAAAGTGCATTCTTGGGATCTGCATGGAACTCTAAGTTGCCAACATAATTGTTAATGTGGGCGATGATAAATTTTAAAAAATTGGTTTCTCCGCATTATGCGTGTTCATTTATTTTCCATATGAAAATGAGTATGTATACATACCTGTGATTTTTTATATAATACTTTTAGGTATTTTTAGAAGAAAAAATTCTTGTTTCAAAGGGAAGATATTTTTATGACCACCCTGTGAAAGCGATGGTGTTGGCTTAGTGATCAAAGCCAAAGAAAATAAGTTTCCCCAGGTAATATTATTTTAGTCTCCTGGATCACTATCTGCTAATAGAGCTTGTTTTCCTCTCCCCGAAAGCTCTGGCGTTAGATTCGCAACTTGGATCAGGTTATGATCATCGAGGATAAACTTTGGCAAGAGATGGGATGAAATGGAAACGCAAATTTTGACCCTGCTTATTATTATTTTTTGCATGCCCTCAACAAAGCGGAGAAAAATCAGTAAAAGGAATGACAACGAGCCGAAATTATTGGTTGGGTTTGAATGCCTGAATATTTTTGGACAGGGGATTTTATTTGAAAATTGCACGCCAAAAATTAAATTTGATTCGCCAATTATTGTCTTTCGATTTGCAATTTCAGTTTCATTTTTTGTGAGGTTGTTTCTGGCGTTTTTCATTCGGTATAAATGCTCTTTTTAATTTATTATTTTAATAATTCTCTGACACTGTGTTCGGTTTTGATTTTTTGCAATAATTCTGGGGAATTGACTGAATTTTCACGGAAAGCTTACAAAAAATTAGGAAATCAATGAAATATTTTCCGAATGACTTAGTTAAAATTACATCGAAAGCTGGTTGGCTAACATTTTGAGACTTCTATTTTTGGAATTTTTCTCTTTGCAATGATTTTTCGCCTGCACTCACTGTGCTAAATTCCATTGCTTATCCTCTAATTTTACTGTTGAGGAAGAAATAACCCTGAGATTTTTGAGGTATTGATGCAGTATTTTTGAATAATATCTTCTTTTATTGGAAACGGAATTAATAGCTCACTGAAGAATATAATAAATATGGAACTAGAGCAGATAATTTTTCAAATGACTAAGATGAAATAACTAATTTTATAAAGCTGGACTTTTGGTTTTTCGATGTTCTGTTTATTAGTGCAATTTTACACCTTCTCTATTCCCCCCTCAAGATATGCTTCAAAACTTTTTGAAGATGATTCCAGGAATTATTTTTTTTCTAGAAATTGTTTCAGTGAAGGTTTTCTGGAGAATTTCGAGAAGGCAGAATCTGACCTGAGTTTTCTCCACTGTGAAGACCTTTGACCTGCTGATGATAATAGTGATCCCTTTTTTTTTGCATAGGTTTTTCCTTCTCTCTCTCTCTTGTTTCTTTAATTTCCCTTCGTTGCACTTGATTTCCTACCTTTTTTGTGGGGACCTTTTTTTTGTGTTTTCTGTAATCCCCCTGTTTAGCCCAAATCTGGGTGCGCCGCCCCGAGGTGAAGCGAGAAAGACACGATTTAAATTCGAATTTTTTCAATTTTTTTTTCGTCGCTTTTGAATGGCGACCGGGGACTGGGACGAGCCGTCTCGGAAAGAAGTCGGCACTTCCATGACGTTGGCCGACTCGCCGGGACGCCGTCGCGGGGTCTTGTCGTCGGCGGCGCGGATGAGGCGTCCTCGCGTGGGACGCCAGAAGCGTGGCGTCGGCGCCGATGGCGGGAATGGAGGCGGTGACGTTGCCGCCGCCGCCGCCGCCGGGGATGAGTCGTCTGATGACGGGCGGATGCGAGCTCGTGACTCGCTCGAGTTGTACCGGCGCCATCATTTGCACCAAGTGCGGGCCAGGAGTGCAGAGGGCGCTGGTGGTGCAAGGAGGAGGCGGATACGCGTGGGACATCTGCCGGAGGACGATGGAATCAAGGTGGTTCTCTTGATTTTCGATGCTGTTGAACCCGCGTCTTCAAAAAAAAAATAATAATAAACATTTGAGTTTGGAGGGACTTGAAAAAATAAAACATGATACTTTGATTTAGAAAGTTTCTGAGGCAATGAACATGTCCTGATTTTTGTTGTTAAAAAAAAACCATCATTAAATTTCCATGCATGTTTATTTGAAGAGTTTGAAGAGTTTATATTTATTGAAATAGTACATCATCACTTTTTGATGGCTTACCTGCAGATGAAGGAAGCTTCCAAAATCTCATTTCAAGAAACTTCCTGCAGGTGAGACATCTAAGAGTGATGTACTACGTATTTCAATAAATGTGCATGCAAATAATTTTATTTTATTATATTGAACTGCACAAATCTGTACATGTTCACTGATTCAGAAACTCTCTCAAATCAAATTTGGAGGGATTCTGGAAAATACTTGATTTAGAGAGTTTTTTGAGTCAGTAAACATGTCCTGATGTGTGTAATTCAATTGAAGAGGAATTCCGTGCATATATCTATTAAAACATTTTATCATCAGTTTTAGATTTCTCATATGCAGGATAATTGCCAAAGCTCTGTTGTAAAATATTGAATTGACAATTTGGTGCATTTACAAGTGAAATTTAGGGAAAAGAGTGCCTTTTTAACTTTCATGTACTGTATCACCCAACTTTTGCTGGCACTCCAATTTTTATAAAGTCAAATATGATGTATTGCAAATTCAGTTGATGTCATTTTATCCACACTGATGTTCATGCCCAAATTTTGCCTTGAATGCTTTTGTTGATGCAGCTGGGGGTTTTGGTAAGGTTGCATGGAGGTTATATATTATTCAAACAAATTCTGAACTTTTCATGATTGCTGGTCATAATTGCATCCCCTAATGGGCCTAATATTGCTTGCTAAATTGATGGTTGATTAATTTCAAATCTTTATAATACTGCATTATGTTGAATGAATGAACAGAAAACTTTATTGGCCGCTTTTCAGCGTTCACAAGGTACAACCAAAACTCCTGCATCCAAACCCCCTCCCCACCCAACCCAACTCCCCCAAAATACATTCAATCACTTCAAAGCATGAAACAAAGCATAAACCAACGACAAAAACAAAAGAGAACACANCCCCTCCCCACCCAACCCAACTCCCCCAAAATACATTCAATCACTTCAAAGCATGAAACAAAACATAAACCAATGACAAAAACAAAAGAGAACACACTCTAAAAAATAAAAACTGGACATCCTACGCGTATGTTGCATACACCCACCCATTATTTTTAAGATATGAAAGTAAATCATCATATTAAAGCCAGATATTATTTTGAATTATAACTTTCTTTTTAATTTACTGGATTTTCATTTTTTTCATTGTTGAAGACATGAAAGATGATGATGAATAATGTTCAGAGTATTTTTTAAATACAAATATTATCATAATCGGAATTCTCCAGATTAAAGTCAGGGATTGAAATACCTTTAAAAGAGGGTTTTTAAGGTCATTCACTGTTGAAGAAATGAATGAATGAATGGGATGATGATTTGGTTAATGCTGTGGGTTAGCACAGAATAAGAAAATAAGATGGAAGCAAAACATAGAATCCACCAGGGAACACGTCAATAAGAGACTTGAAAGGGCAAACAAATTGACTACAGAAGTGACTCAATTTTAAATAATAATGCGCAAGTATTGACTGCTGAACCACAATTTGGAAAATCTCAAGTGAAGAGACAAAATCGAGGAATAAAAATTTGCACAACCTTTTTAGCACTTGAAAAATGCACACTTTCACTCTGAGCAGAATCTCAACACTGAATGAATAAGAGAGCTTCATGCAGATAGTCTTTGATGAGTGGTCTTTAGTGTGCCTGCTTGGGGGACGTTTTGGGTGCTTTTGAATCAGGACCCGGGGTTTTGGGGGGGTCCATTGTGTTGTCAAACTTCATGCTTTCAGGGTAGTCATAGACATCCTTGGCTGGAGCCACAGGGGCAATCTTTGATGAGAAATCATATAAGGCCAAACATTTTTCTTGATCCTTTAAGAGTTCCGATAATGTCTCTTCATTGAATTTATGTTGATTTTTCAAATAAAGATGCCAGTTTTTTTTCTGCCATCTGCTGGTGATGATCTGGTTATTCATGATAACTGTAACATATTTTGTGTATGTTAAACCCTGTGCTCACTTGCATTTTGTTATACTCTACTGTTAGTCACTCACTTGTAAGCATTCTAAGAATAAAAGAATGGAGGCTGGGATGAATGTTGTTCATGCCTGTGTTCTCAGAATGTCTTTAAAATAATGATTGCTGATCAAAGGTTGCCCCTGTGGCTCCAGCCAAGGATGTCTATGACTACCCTGAAAGCATGAAGTTTGACAACACAATGGACCCCCCAAAACCCCGGGTCCTGATTCAAAAGCACCCAAAACGTCCCCCAAGCAGGCACACTAAAGACCACTCATCAAAGACTAAAGTGGACCCAGCCCCAGTCATTGCCCCGCCCATGTACAGCGCCATCTTGTGCAACCGCGCCAGACAAGCAGCTGTGAAGCAAAAACTCAAAGAGCTGACTGAACTTCTTGAGGCCCCTGACTTGCCTCCCTTGAAGATGGATTCTTCCCACTTTGAGGACCTCAGGGGCCCCTTGGACAATTGTTCCTCTTCAGAAATGCACCACAGGAGAAGAAGAATCTCTTTTTGCCTGGCCTCTGATTCTGGGGATGCAGGAGACACTGAAGAAAACAAGGTGCCTAAGCGCAGGATTAAGCCCAGTCCTGAAATGGTGGCCTCTGTCAACTTGCGCCCCCTGGCGACCAAGCCTTGCAAGGTGTCCAAGAACATTGAGACCACTGCTGATGCTTGGCACTTGACCCTCACTTGCACTGGGCAAAATAAAAACCAGAAGACTCACTTCAGTCCTGCTGTGGCAAGACATTTAGGCAATGTTAGGCGCCAAGCTGTGGCCTATCAAAACAAGAACTCTGTGGGCATGTTGGCTGAGACTTACATGCTGAAGCAGAAGAAAAGGAATGAGTCCTTTGATGAACTGTCATCCATCATTGAGAGATTTTCTGAGGTGGAAAATGTGCCAAAGAAGACATCCAAGAGATTTGCTGCTGGTGGATCTGCTGAAAGGGTTGCCAAAGGATCTTCTAGAGAGTCTAGGACTTCTTCATCCAAGAAGAAGTCTTCTAGGAGACAGCAGAGACACCACAGGTACATTTTTGTGAGAATGAAGCATGTTTTTTGGTTTTTTCAAGTCAAATACATGTCTTCTGAAAGGAAGCCATCACAGGAATACCTCTTGAGACATGAAAAGGCCACTTCAATCACCAGTGCTGAGTTCACCTCCTCCAAGATCACTGAATCTGGAGAATCAGTCATTTCAGTGAAGCGTTTTGATGCTTGCTATAGGTCTGCAGAATCATCACACCATCCAGTCTTTCCCTACCACATGATACCTATGATGGCACCACACTATCAAGTGAAGACCAAAAAGGAAAGAAGAGACCAGGAGAAAATAAAAGTAGGGTCAATCTTTTAAAAGCTGTCCTGTTCTTATTTTTAGCAATTGCTTTGTTACAGGGGAAGCAAGAAGTGAGGAAAGACACCTCTGAAAAGGAAGGAAAGGTCAAGATCAGTAAATCGCATAGGGGGCGCCACATGAATCCTGTATTTGTACCTCCTCCACATGCTTTTCCTAACCCTTGGGAATCTCACTTTGCTGCCAGGGCTCCAGGATATTATTGTGACTGTTGGGACTGCATCAACAGTGAGTTTCCTGACTAATAATAACTTTAAGCCTTTAACAAGTGTATATGTGAGAAATGTGGATGTTTTCCAGGATTTCTTTCCACTAAAGAATTACAAAAAATGCATCTGAAGAGTCTATTACAAATATAGGAAGGTTTAGAAAAAATTTCCACATCTCTTCTCCTCACCCCTACTCAAGCAATCATCCAAACACATTTTTGGCACATCAGAAGGAAAAGCAATAATTCACTCTATGGGTATTGAAAGAAAGTACATTATGTTATCCAAAAACTATTTTACAGAAGTGAGTGATCAACAATCATCAGTTGTTGAGAGCTACTTCTTAATAATTAGAGGAAAAGGGGATTGGAGATTTATATCGTTTTCCGCGACTTTCAAAGGAAACGCAAAAGTTACTCCATGAGAGTATTTCAAGTAATATTTTATTCTATCTTCACACACAGTCAATACAACAATTCTACAGAGAGCAAAGTGGCATAGACTTAGCATTTGGACAAGGTCTGGTGAGGTAAACTTAATGCAACATAAAATGCACCTGTATATATAGCTTTGGCCGGCCGAGGTTGAAGAATGCGCATAGAAACCAATTCGGATCGGGGACGTCATGCTTTGTTTATTTAAAGGAAGGAAGCATGAGCATGGTTGGGAAAGTATTCCGTCAACAAGGGGATTGTGAAATATATAACGATCGCGTGGTCCGCGTCGGTTCGCATCGCGAAATACATTAGCTTGAAAGGGTCATGCGTAAAGTGAAGGGTGTTGTGGTTGTTAATATGACTACAATTACAGTACATACAAATACTTGAGTTATTGCCATAATTTTTTTCATTTGAAAAAAAGCTAAATAAAGCTCAGCACAAGGCATCCAATTACTGGTCAGAAAATAAAGCACAAAGTAATCAGCTTGTTTCCAGATAATGTTTAATGGATTGAACAAATCTAGAGAGGATCTGTAAAGGGAAATCATGTAAAGCAGTTTATTCCTGACTCTCTCAAGATTTGCAAAAGAGCCTTTCTATAAAATTTGAGAGAATCTTAACTTTTAAAAAATCAATTCTCATCAATTGCTAAGATGATGAGCAAATGGTTGCATACACAGGAAAGATGACTTGCCAGTGTCTGAACTGCGACTTTGCAAGGTACCCCAGGAAACACTATTACAAGCTCTGCCATGGCACTGAAATGAGTTCCCAATCAAGCTCAAGCTCAGTTGCAGACCCAAGTTCTGCCTCCAGCCAAAGGTGTAAGCCCTGGATTCAAAGGATATCTCTTTTAATGTTTTTTTTTGAGAATGATGGGGGTATTAACTCATGTAGCCAGCAGCCTGGAAGCAGAGAGTCCATCAGCAAGTCCCCTGTTCACCCTATCCATGAACCTGGTGGACAAAGCTGTGTCCAGGATCCAGTTGACACTGAGCAATGTCCTGAGGAATGTCCCAGGGTTGTCTGTGCAGAGGTGATCCATGAAGAGTGTCCTCAAGTTGCTGCTGAAGAATGTCCTCGAGTTGTTTCTGAAGAATGTCCTCCTTGTCTTGGGGTGATTTGTGGAGAACTTGGAGAGGTGGAAGAAGAGCCTGAGGAACCTGTGTCTTTTGTGAAGACTCAAGAGTTGGTACCTTTTCTATCTCTCTCGCTCTCTCTCTCTCTCTCTTTGACAAATCCGCCATCTTTATATAGTCCCTGCCAAAATGTCATTCCGCTTGGGTCTTCCACGCTTGGATGGCGAAGGAATCTCGAAATCTCATCTGTCAGGCTATTGTTCGGTTAAATGTAGAAGGAAGAGTCTATTATTCTTGTTTTTTCATCTCGAGTCTGTTGTAAACATGAGGAGCATCTGTTTTTTTTTCGATTTGGTTTGGGTGAGTGATTGACAAGTGCTTGAAATCCCGAGTAGAGAAAGTTCCCTTGGGAACTAATTCGAAGGTTTTTCTTGAAGTTTTGGCGGTTTGTATTTTTGAAGGAATATTATGGAATAAATTTATAAGTTACGCAAAAAATATTTCGGTTCAAATTCTTGCTCGCGACGATGAAAATATGTCATGATGAATTTTAGCTGTAATCTTGGCATATTTGATATACTTTCCAATTTTTTTTACCCATTCTGAAGCGAGTAAATTGAAAATTCAATTCATGCTTCGTGGAATTTTAATACGGTCGAACCTCTGAAATGTATAAATTTCCGTTTGTACCAGCATAATTAATTACGTGCTGAGTATCAATAATCCGTGTTAAAAATTAAAATTTGTGAAGACTGGCTTGACAATTTTTTCGATAATTCACCAGAAAAAGAAACGCGAAAATTTGATCGTTTGAACTAATTTTCGAATTTTAAAATATTTTCATTTCACACGAAGTACGGATTTTTTTTTAAATAACCAAAGAAAAAAGAAAATTCCGTTTTCTCCACCTCAACATCTTGTGAATTTCGAGAACAATTTTAGCTAAAATTTTTAGTAGTATTTCATTATTTTGCAAGGACATTTAAAAAAAACGCCGAAATTTGCATTGATGATGTACTCAAATGCAGATATTTTAAAGGGCTGTTCCTAATTTTTATTTCTTTGTCAAAATGAATAAAAATTATTTAACTATGCCTCTTGGAAGATCGTAAATTGGCGCGACAAAATTTTTGCGTGATAAAAGTTGCGCTGAAACGGAAGAAACGGAAGCTGTTTATTTCGGGGATCCCTCGTATTTAACGTTTGTGGTATTATTTTGCTTCCTGATTTCGACACTTTTTTTTTCCGTAGTGATGCTGAATTTGACAAGACACATGCAAGTGTATATTCGTGAACTCTTCACTTGGCTGCCCTTGAATTTTTTCAATATTTTGGTATTGTTCTCGTATTTTCTTTAAGATTAGGATTTTAAACATAAACTATTTTCTTTAAAAAAAAAGAAAAAAAACTTTGGTGTTAATCCATCGCATCTTGTTCTCGGAAAAATTCAACGAGACTCTCGTGGGGGTTTTATAGGGATAGGGGGAAAAAAAAAGCGCATGCGGATTATGCAAATTTTGAGAACTGGGTTTCATGCTCTGCTGCTGCAGATCCCTTGTGGCAGAAATCCAACAAGTCTCTGAGCTGGCAGCACGAGCTGGTGCTGGATCAGTGGCCTGCGATGAGGATCCCGCAATAACTCGGTCTGAGATCCCCGAGACTGCGGAAATGTACCAAATCCCTGGCACCAGAACAGAATGGAATAAATTTATAAGTTACGCAAAAAATATTTCGGTTCAAATTCTTGCTCGCGACGATGAAAATATGTCATGATGAATTTTAGCTGTAATCTTGGCATATTTGATATACTTTCCAATTTTTTTTACCCATTCTGAAGGAGTAAATTGAAAATTCAATTCATGCTTCGTGGAATTTTAATACGGTCGAACCTCTGAAATGTATAAATTTCCGTTTGTACCAGCATAATTAATTACGTGCTGAGTATCAATAATCCGTGTTAAAAATTAAATTTGAAAACACTGGCTTGACATTTTTTTCGAGAACAACTCATCAGAAAAAGAAACTCGAAAATTTGATCAAGTTTGAACAAATTTTGAAAATTTTAAATATCTTCATTTCACACGAAGTACGGAATTTTTAAAATAACCATAGAAAAAAAGAGGAATTCCGTTTTCTCAACCTCAACATCTTGTGAATTTCGAGAACAATTTCAGCTAAAATTTTCATTAGTATTTCTTTTTTTTAAAGGACATTTAAAAAAAACGTCGCAATTTGCATTAATAACGTACTCAAATGCAGATATTTTTTAGGGCTGTTCCTAATTTTTATTTCTTTGTCAAAAATGAATAAAAAAATCATTAATTATACCTCTTGGAAGATCGTAAATTGGCACGACAAAATTTTCACGTGATAAAAGTTGTGCTGAAACGGAAGTTGTGCTGTTTATTTCGGGGATCCCCTGTATTTTACGTTTGTGGTATCATTTTGCTTCCTGCTGATTTTGACTTTTTTTACGCAGTGATGCTGAATTTGACAAGTCACATCCAAGTGTATATTCGTGAGCTCTTCACTTGGCTGCACTTGAATTTTTTCAATATTTTGGTATTGTTCTCGCATTTTCTTTAAGATTAGGATTTTAAACATAAACTATTTTCTTTAAAAAAAAAAGAAAAACTTTGGTGTTAATCCATCGCATCTTGTTCTCGGAAAAATTCAACGAGACTCTCGTGGGGGTTTTATAGGGATAGGGGGAAAAAAAGCGCATGCGGATTATGCAAATTTTGAGAACTGGGTTTCATGCTCTGCTGCAGCAGATCCCTTGTGGCAGAAATCATTGTTCAGAGACTCGACCGTCGTGCTCGACCACGACCTAGTCACCGGACGCTACTCCTAGGGCGTTATTGAGCCAGACTCTAGGGGCTCTGACGCCTTTACATGGTTTAGGGACCGTGGTCTTGTCTTGTTGTTGAAGTGAGGACATATACATATGTGTATATATTTCTTTCATTTCACAAAAATAAATTTTCTCTCTTTTTTTTCGTATGGAAATTCCAATTTGTTTTGATCGGGTGAGGGGAAATTTTTGTTTCTTGGCTTGGATGTATATATGCAGGCAATCCTTGAAACCGAAGCGGAAATCCCTGCTCCTCTGCTAGTGGAAGAAGGCAGTGACATTGCTGTCGAAGATGATTCCAGCAGCAAAGATCCCCGGGGATCCCCACAAACTGGCTCCACTCTGCAGAACCCCCTTAGGTTGTTTTTTTAAGGCTTTGCAGCTCAGCTTTGAAACCCCCCCCCCCCCCATTTTTCCCTTAACAGAATTGATCTCATTTTCTTGTGGTGGGGGAGAAAAAAAAACCCCCCTCCTTTGAATGCTTCTCATATCGTTAGTGCCCTTGAGGGGGATCTTTTTTTCCCCCTTGTTCCTGCTGAATTTATTTGTGTGAAGATTTTTTTAAAATTTTGAATGTATATACAGGACAATGGCATTTGCCCTGAGGCACTTTCCGAGATCACCAGACTGAAACGTCTGAGACAAAACACGAAACCCACAACTGGACCTCCGTCCAGTCGTCTTCCTTTACAAACTGGTCCAAAAACCCCTGTTTTAAGCGAAGACCAGTAGAAGAACGGGTTCCAAAAAAAAAACTATTACTTTTTGTTGTTGTTGGTGAAAAACTGGCTGGTTTTATATTTTTATGCATTTTTTTGTGTGTTTGTGTATATGAAGGAAGCATGCATTTGCAGAAGAGAAATTTCCTGGGGCTCATCAGGAGCCTGCAGTTGATTATATTCATGCAGTTACTGATCACAGCTTGCAGTCTGAAGCACCTGTGACTGCTGAGAACACTGATACAAGGACTATCATGAAGAGAGGGGATCTGATTGTTGACACTAGGTGTGAAATCGAAATTCTTTAACATTCCTCAAGATGAAAGAAATGATTTTTCAATTTTGTTTTCTTTGTTGTGGTTGTTGAAAGCAGTGCTTTTAAAGCAATATCTTCTTGCATGAAGTTGAAAGCAGTGGTTTACTAATAATTTTTTCTTTATTTTTGAAGTTATGAAAGCGATGCATTTAAAAAAAATGTATTCTTTGTTAGAGAGGGAAGAAATTAATTTTGCATTATTTTGCTAAAGTTGAAGAAGGAAGAGATGATTTTCCAATTATTATTAATTTTTTTCTTGTGGTTGTTGAAAGCAGTGCTTTTGAAGGAATTTCTTCTTGCATATAGTTGAAAGCAGTGATTTATATATAATTTGTTCTTTGTTGAAGTTGAAAACAATGATTTTCAAAAAATGCATTCCTTATAGAGAGGGAATAAATAATTTTTGCATTAGTTTTCCAAAGTTGAAGGTGGGAGATATGATTTCCGAATTATCTCATTTCTGTTGGAAGTTGAAAGAAATTATTTTCAAATTATTCATCCTTCTTTCAAGATGAAAGATACATTCATTTTAAGTTGATTCATTTTTGAAATGGAAGAAATGATTTAAAATTATTTCTTTATATTTTGATGATGAAAGAATTTTTTTTTCAGGAATTTATCGAATGTTTAAATTTAAATCAGGTGAATATTGATATAAACTGCGAGAAATTCTTTAAAAATAATAAGAGCGTAAAATTTAAATTTAGTCCAGTTATAACTATATTTGAAGAGTGGGATATCCTTCATAACTTTAATGAACTTGAAGGCTGTAGACTTAAGGTATACTTAAAGATCAAGTGTCGTCCTTTAATCAGTTCTTCATTTTGATTTCAATCAGATTCCCATTAAATTTGAATTTTCATCAAGGAAATGAAAAAATGGATCGTGAAAGCATTAGGAGAATGTAATGGGATTCAAAAAATTTTTGATTATTTGTTAGTTGATGAATCTGATGATTCCTGAAGTTCAACTCAGCCTGTTTATTTTCAAGATTAGAATTGAATCCAACAGATAAAGTAAAGCTATCGCATCCTTATTTATTTTAATAAGTTTAATTAGAGTAATTAGAGTTAATGACCACAACACAGCAGAGGCGACACCTGGAGAAGGCGCGCCAAGTGCAAATGCGCGCGCCTTGTCCAGGTGTCGCCTTTCGTCTCCTTTGTTCGGAGCTTTGTATGCCACAAAGCTCCGTGGCCTTTAAAAATCGTACAGTGTATAGTTCTATTAGTGCTTTCAGTTGAAATTAACTTGACGAGTGGATTGTTTCAATAGTCCACGTGTACCAGTAATATCTTCGTGGAGCATCAGTGTCTCTCAATGTAAGAACCAAAGTCATGATGCCATAACTTTGGACCAGTAAATTAATATTTGGCAGTAAATTTCAAATTACGTTCGCAAGAATTTCAACCGTTGAAGTTCCGTTCGTTGAAGTCCAACTTGAACGTCGGGTTCGGAAGCCAACGACGCCGCATTCCGAAGTAGTTCATTACGGTATGGTGAAGTTGATTCATTTGCAGTAATTTAATTCTGAAGAGGAAATTGCGACGGATTATGCTGGCCCGTCCAGTTCAATGATATAAATACAGTACTCTGGAATCAAAGTCGAGATAAGGAGGCAGGCATGCAAGCTAAGGAAGTATGGTGGGATACTCCCGATCGTGTTCATCTTTTTACTTTGGGGTCGTTTTCTCGGTCGAATGACAACTCGTGCAGACATCATTTGGTCTGCAAATACTGTATCTTGTTATCGCAGGTGCGCAATCCTGTTTGTCATTGATTTAATTTCTCGGGCCATCCGGGAATCGTGGGAATTTGTGATCTCCTCTTTGATAATGCGGTATCCTCTTCGTTACTGTGGTGTGAGCGACGGCTGAAGTGCTTTCAGTTGAAATTAACTTGACGAGTGGATTGTTTCAATAGTCCACGTGTACCAGTAATATCTTCGTGGAGCATCAGTGTCTCTCATTGTTAAGTAAAAACATGGTGCTTATGAACTTGTATTCTCCAAAATATTACATTTCTGAACTCGGGCAAAAAATTGCGAATCACTCAAGCCTTGTGATTTCATGTGCATTTTTCGAAATGAAAATTGCAGCCTTTTTCCTCCATATACGAATTACACGTTAAACTGGCGCATAAAACCGGGATTCTTGACAGTCATCAAATTTATTGATAATTTCATTTCCTTATAGGACTAAAGATCAGACTAATACAGTAAATCGATGAAGGCAAGAATTTGTTACTCGTTTCCACAAGAGCGTGCAGAAATGGCACAAGAAAGTGAGTTCATAAAAACGTGGTAATAAAAATGATTTCTTGCATAATAAAAATGTACAACATTATTTTTATCTCTCTTGAAAGGAATTTCGGAATAGGTGAATAAATGAAAGTTACTTTTATCCTGATCGAAAATATACTCCTTCGATGAGGAGACGAAATTTGTGGCACATTTGTTTTTTCCCTGCGTTATTTTCATTTGGTGAGTGGGTGGGACACATTTGCTATTTACTAAATGTAAATGTATGCCGAATTATGTGAAAGCCTTATTTGCTTACCTGCTCCACGTTCAAAAAGTTTCTGGGTTCTAAATATACCCAAAAACTGGCTGCATTTCAAAGTGGGATCCCTGATGCCTCTTGCTTTCCTCATTAGTGGTTGTATAATCCTTCGGGAAACTACGTCATTCGGGATCTCTCTTGAATTTTGATAAAAATTTCCGGCTTTTCTGATGACGTTTTTGAGGCTTGCGGGAAAGTTTAGCGATTTTCAAATATACTGTATGTGAAGAATTGCTGATGAAATTGGATTCTGGTGCTTTTCTTCCTTATTTGAAGCGATGAGAATCTCTTGTTCCTGAAAGTCAAAATTTTGCTTCTCAAAAGGGGTTTTTTTTTTTACGTCTGAGGTTGAATTAATTTTTGATGAATATTTATTGAAATTTTCATGATCTACATTTTTGAGCACCCAGCTTAAAATAATTATGTAGATGATTTGAAATAAATTTTACCCTGCTGAAGTTATATTTTATAGGTATTTTTCAAATTTCTAGGGTCACTGAATATTTAAAATGCTCTGCTTGAAAAATATTCACTAAATCATAAACATCAAAAGTTGCAATCAGTGAAATTTGGTGATAAATTGGGGTAGTTTTTTATGGCGAATTCTAATTTTATTTCATTGAGGTCTGGTGATTGATGTTGTCTTGAATTGAAAAAATATTACTGACATAACTTTTCAAGCAGATTTTAATTTATATTCATGACAACCTCGTTTCATTAAAAGCATGAGGGTACAAATTACTTTTAAACATGAATATTTTGTTTGTTTCTTCAGGCCATAAAAATCCCATGGCATTTCTATATTACAGTAATAAATCCCTTTTTTCCTTTTTTGCATGATTTATTAATGATTCTAATCCTTGAATATTTTATAAATAATTCGGGTGGTTCTTCGTGGGTGATTATTTAATATATCTCTGAGTTTTGGAGAATTTTGAAATGTGTCGATTTTTTGTCTGAATAAAAAAATTGACATAACTTTTCAAACATACTGTATCTTGAATTATATTCATGCCAACCACACTTTGTCAAACTCCATGAGGACACACAGCATTATTAAACAGAAAAATGTTTTTGCATGTTTCTTGATCCCAGAATGAATAATTAATATTCATTCCGCAGAATATATATTTAATTAATACGTTTTCCTTGTGCTCATGTGATGAATTTTTTATTATTCACCAAGTTTTGGAGGATTTAAAATTTATCTCGATTTTTCGTCTCAATTTCAAAAACATTGAAACACATTTTCGAGCATCTCTTGAGCTATGTTAAATAAAACCACACTTTCTTAAAAATCGTAAACGTGGAAAAATAATTAGTTAGATTAAAATATATTTTGCATTTTCATGGAGCCCGGGATGCATTAATTACAGGTAAATTCCGTCGCATTCTATGTTGAATAAATCAGTTTCTAGTCCTTTTTCTGAGTGGAATAATTGGATTGGTAATTGGGAGGTTAGTTTGGAGTGTTTCCACGCTATTCGAAAGCCCATAGGATCGAGGAAATGCATTAATTCCATCCGGATATACCCTGAAGCCCTGGTCACTTCATCTCCATACAAATGAGGCCGGGATCCGTGTCTTCGCGGCAAAAAGGTATTCTCCAACAAGCCAGAGTCATCAAATCAGGTTTAATCCATGCGGGATTAGCCCTGAAGAAAAGGTGGGGGGATCCACGTGCACCTTGTCCCTGAAGAAGAGGAGGATCCTGAGGAAAGATGGAGGGGGATCCTTGGCTTGATCGCGAGAAGGGAGAGCGATGAGCTTAATGGTGGGGATCCTTGACATTTCTGTCCCAATTAAGGATGACTACATATTTTATTTTTAATATTTATCTGTGTGTGTGTGTGTGTGTGTGTCACACATATTTCCTGGAAATTTTTTGATCATCATGCTGCTAAAATGAAAAAGAGCTTCTTCATGTCATCAAAGAGCTGATTGACAAATTTTGCAACATGTTAATGGTCAACACCATATGCTCATTAAATCCCTGGTTTAATTGACCTTATTATTGTCACTCCATTGAGCTTTTTTCAAGCTTCAAAGAGCTGTGGAAGTGAATTTATTGATTACTGACGCCTGTGATCAATTCTGGGGTTATGCAAAAGTTCATCTTTTAATTATGATGATGTTTCCAATTCTCAAGTGATTTTATTCAAAAGAGTGGTCAAGCTTGACAGAGAACTTTTGAAAGTATTTTGCAGAAAAGAAAATTTAATTCAAGTGCGTCACGTTTTATGAATAATTAATTTGAAAAGACAATTACGGTACTGTAATTTAACATTTAAAGCTGTGAAGTAATATTTGCTTTCTAATTAATTTAATCAAGTGCTGTACTGTGAATGTAAGTGATGTTTCACAAAGATTTATTTTTAATGTTACTTTAATCTGAACCTTTTCAGATTAAATCTGAAATCTTTTTCTGAACCTGCTGATATTTTTGTCTGAACCTGCTGACATTTTTTTCTGAACCTGCTGATATTTTTTCTGAACCTGCTGATATTTTTTTCTGAGCTTGCTGACATTTTTCAATATTCTTCAGGTTTCATAGACAAGCAATGTCAAAATTAAATTACATTTGAAGTATTGAAGTAAGTATTTCTTTCATTGTATTTCAGTCAGTACATGCGAGTGATGCATCATGAAGATTTCTTTTTAGTAGATCTTAAAGGTACCTGCTGAAATATTTTTGCTGAACCTGCTGAAATATTTTTGCTAAATCTACTGAAATATTTTTGCTGAATCTGCTAAAAACTTTCCCCTGAACCTGCTGAGATTATTCTTCTGATCCTACTGATAATTTTATTGCACCAGTTGAAGCATTTTTGGTGTACTAGGCTGGAACATTTTTAATGTACCTGCTGAAGTATTTTTACTATACCTACTGAAATGTTGTTGCGTTATCTGCTGAAATCATGAGATCATTTGTTTATAGTGTTTCAAAAGTTTAAAATTCCTCTTTCATATTCTCATGATATTGATATTTCCCCCTAAATTACTGTACCTTACATCAGTTTCAAGACAGGTTTGAATACGTGACTATAGGCATATTGTAATTCAAAATTATTTAAAAAAAAGCAGATTTAAGGGAAGTGAAATTCTGGAATTCCATAAATCAGGACCGTTTACAGAATAAAATACTGCAACTTGATTTATTTCAATCGGCCATCATACATTTTGTAATTATTTCTGCTAAAATTCTTCAAGATCCGGGTCTACCCTTTCATGCAGCGACATCTGTGGCTGAATATATGTTCTCTGCTGGTGAAGGATAAATAAACTCTCTCCCCCTGTCATGTGCTATGATATGACTCAGGTTTGGATTTGGCCTTGGTCCATGAGTGTGTGGGTGGATTGGCAGCAGGGTAATGATCTGCACCAGGGTGATTAAGGGTCGTCCAATGGCAACTCATTCAACCAAGGAGCCATTTATCAGCCTGATGGGATATGTTGGGAGTGACCTGTGCCAAAAATCTCTGTTGCCATGTACTTGAAGCTCAATTAATTGCAAACCATTCCCATATGTCTCATCACCATCAGCCAGCAATTTTGAAAAATAAAACTTGCTTTAATGTCTCAGAGCTGATTTGAATGTCAAAGAGCTCTGGAGTTTATCCAGGAGAAACGTGTGAATTTTTTTAATGTGATGGGATAATAATCCCTCAAAGATTGATGATGATGATGCAAAAAAAATCTCTGCTTGGAATCCTTTTGGAAGCCCTGCTGAATATCCAGCCTCATTTTTTTGCCATTTTCCCCCTCAAGTGGGTGGAAATTCAGGGCAAATTTCCAAACAAAGGAAAGAGAGCTTTGCAATGATCTGAGATGCTTGGGGGGGGGGGGGGAACCCGCAAGAAAAGTACCATCCATGATGTTTGCCTTTTTTTTAAAAAAGGACCCTTGTAACAAACAATGGTGATTGATTTTCTCTCCCCCTGAAACCGCCTCTGGGCAAAAAAAAAAGTTAAACTTCTGTGCTATATGTGGAACGAAAGCACATTTTTCTCTTCGCTTCTGCTGAGTTCCAAGGAAATCTATACAAGTTTTCTTTCAGCATTTTAGCAGCAGTTGGCAGAAAAGTAAAGAAACTATTGCTATAGTTGCTCTACTTGTGGAACACAGGTGTGCTGAAAAGAAACTTTCTTGCGTCAATTTTTCCCCCGTGGCATTTTTGGTCATACGCTGATGAGGGATATTTTTGTTGGGTTTCTGAAATTATTCAGAAAGTTTGGTCCAATTTTCTCAGTTGAATGGATCTATTGTGTGGAGCTTTTTTTTTTTTTAGCTAATGTTTGGAATTCTGGTTGTTGTTA